TATATATATATATATGTATATATATATATGAAGAAACAATATCGGAAAACATTTTTTCACATACAGACCAAATGATCAATATTAATAAAGTGGTAGAAAATAAAATTGGAAAAATGGAGTAGTCTGTATATGAAAAGACTTTTAAATCATTTAATTTTTATAGCAGGCTGGGTTGGATCACTGTGATATGCACACACCAGGAAAATTTAAATTATTTTCTATCCCATGGTCTCAAGCTTATAGCAGGAGTTGAGGGCCATGGAGGTGAGGGGAGGAAGTGAGGAAGGCATCCAAGATGGTGCAGAAATAAGGCATGGTTTTAGCGCATAGACTGCACTCACCACTCACGCCAGCACTCAGAACTCATCCCATAGATGATAAGCTCTACAAACCACATGCAAATCTTGTTCTCGGTCCTTTCCTTCTGATTTGCATCAGGGGATGGTTCATCTTCACTGTCAGCTTGGCTGGGTTTAGAATCACCTACGTGAAATACCTTTGCATGTGCTGTATGCTGTAGACGAATTTCTTTCTTTTTTTTTTCCTATGTACAAGTTTATTACATACCATTGCTTTAACAACTAAGCTCGTGTCAAATATAGGGGCTGATGTTTCTGTCTGAGACAACACAGAGCAGAAGAGAATGATGATGTTTACAGCATAACCCGAACTGCAGGAAGCTCCGAACTGGGTGTGTTCCCATTAACACAGGTGCTCTTACATTCAGGTGCCTGATGTTCAGTCCTAGGAAGGGATTGGGATTGCCAATGAACTTGAGTCGATTTTATCTGGACATCACAGAGCAGAGAGTCTTCTGAGCTGGTGTTTGAGCTCTATGAAGACCAAGTCTGACACTCTTAACTGACTCCGTCCATAAATTATCAAGCTCGTCTTGGTGACTGGGATGTTTGACTGTAGCAAATGCTGGTAGACGAATTTCTAAATGATCTTATACGGAGTCAAATAGAGGGGTGAAAGCCTTAGATCAGGGGAAATAGGGAAAGCCACCAGACAACCTTACCTTACCAACTCTGTAGCTTCCAAATGCCATTTACTTCCTGTCTACCCACACCTTTATTGCCTTGCTGTTCTGCCCTCTCATTGGCTCTCTTAGCTCAGCTACTTCACTCCCTCTTCCTACGCAGCTCTGTCACTTCCTGCCTGTCTGTACAGACCTCCAGGACTCTATGGTTGGTACTGGGATTAAAGGCGTGTGTCACCACGCTTGGCTCTGTTCCCTAGTGTGGCCTTGAACACACAGAGTTCTTGCCTGCTAAGTGACAGGATTAAGGGCCCGTGCTACCACTGCCTGACTTCTTTGTTTGCTTAAAATGACTTGCTATTTCCTCTGATCTCCAGGCAAACTTTATTTATTAAAGCACAAATAAAATACCACCACAGTATGTGCTTCCAGAAAAGATGGAGGAAAAGACCCACCTTGAACATAGGTTCCGTCAACTCAGAAACTGGGGGCCCAGACTGAATAAAAAGGGGAGAGGAGGAGGCCAAGTAGACATTGGCCTTCCCCTCTGTCTGTTCTCGTGCACTTGTGTGAGCAATCGTGGACACACACCTAAGCTGCCATGGACTCCGCCATGCCCTCCTGCTGTGGATGTCTTTCTGTATGCTGTGAATATGTGTTGCTCTGATTGGTTGATAAATAGCCGTTTGGCCTATGGCAGGGCAGCTTAGAGGCAGGCTGGAAATCCAAACAGATAGACAAAAAGAAAAAGGAAGGCCGGGCGGTGGTGGCGCACGCCTTTAGTCCCAGCACTCCCAGCACTCGGGAGGCAGAGCCAGGCGGATCTCTGTGAGTTCGAGGTCAGCCTGGACTATCAAGTGAGTTCCAGGAAAGGTGCAAAGCTACACAGAGAGACCCTGTCTCGAAAAACCAAAAAAAAAAAAAAAAAAAAAAAAAAAAAAAGAAAAAGGAGAGGCCAGGCAGATGCTGCAAGTTGCCACCAAGAGAAGCAAGATGTAAAGGTATTGGTAAGCCACAAGCCATGTGACAAAGTATAGATTTATAGAAATGGGTTAATTTAAGATATAAGAGCTAGCTAGCAAGAGACCTGCCATAGACCATACAGTTTGTAAGCAATATAAGCTTCTGTGTGTTTAATTGGGTTCGAGCGGCTGCAGGAATGGGTGGGACACAGGAAAACATCCAGCTACATCCTCCCCACCATGGACCTTGTTCTTTCACATCTTGAATCTGCATAAATCCCTCTCCCCTCAAGTTGCTTCTGCCAGGCACTTGGTCACAGGAATGGGAAAAGTACCTAACGCAATTCTCAGCAATGACTCTGGAAGCAATGTTCAGGGCAGAGATACAGCAGCACTGGCCAGAAGCAGGAAGCTATTTCTGCATGGTGCTTTTGGCTATTATGATGTTCCGATGAAAAATAAGCACCGTGTACACAGCCTAAAGGTAGATACAGTCTTAGTCACATGACTTTGATATAGATGTGTGGTATATTTAACTCACGGGGACGGCAGACATTGGCTTTCACATTTCTAATCCACAGGTCTTCACTCAGCTTCTCTCCTCTGTATATGATGTACAGAATGCGCCTGTCCCCGTCTCCCTGTATCATGAGACCCCACCGGGTACAAGGTAATGCTAGGATGCCTTCAAGGACAAATTGGTCATTGCTCTGTTATCTTAAATGGGAAAATTCCCATAAGCCAGAGAAGGAGGAAAATACCATCCTCATGGTTCATACTCCAGATCCCACCAAAAACCCAAAGGAACAGCTGTTTTTTTCCTGTGAGTAGGCATCCTGAGGGTCCTGGAGCACGCAGTGCCCCATTTCCTTCAACTCTTTTCTTCCCAAGCAAATCTCTAATCATGCCAACCAGGTTCCCAACTCCAGTATGAGAATCACGATCTTCATCCCAGTTCCTGCATGCAGAGGTCCCAAGCTGCTTGGAATCTCTGGAAGAACAGGAGTGACTTTTGATCTCAATAGCAAGCCCCACTAGCCCCCACCTGTGATAATGCTAATGTTTAGGCAGAGCCATAGATAACCTCAATGCAGGCTGCTTGGACTGGTCTACTCTACCCCTAACCCCTGGGGAAAGTAGAGTTGCTGGGTCTAGAAGTCCTAATGAGCTTCAGTGTCCAGGTTGTTGAATAGATCAGGGGGATGGGGCACTCCAAGAAAAGGGCACTCTGTGTCCCTCCCCACCACACCCTGCCCTGTTTCCACATTCTTTAACTGTATTAGCTAACTGGCGAATATAAGTAAAGTATATTCCTGAGTTCTGTGAGCCACGCTACCAAATTATCGACCCTGAGAAGGAAGTGGTGGGTGTCTCAACTGAACACAAAGAAGGTACCACACCTACCTACCTACATCTTTGATACGCACCTTCTTTTCCAAAGGCAACTCTCTCATGTTACTTCACAGTAAAATCCGCTTCCCCTCTGACTCAGACAACCCATTTCTGACCACAGTCTCTCATATTTGAGTCTTACCGTTTCACTACTCCTACCAAGGACTGGTAGTTGAGTTAGATATGAGGTACCCGTGGAGCATTATGGCTGTTTCTTGGTAGCTGTGTCTCCCGGTGTTCAAATGGAATGCTCCTTGGTGGCTTAACACCTTTTAACTGCAGTTGGCTTCTCCCCAACATAGGGGAAACTGAGTACCAGGAAAAACTTAACCCAAATGCCACACATCCATAAGGTCTGCATCCTCAAGAAACCTCAATTTCCTTATCATTTTCTTCGTGAGTTTGTCTCTCCTTTTTAAGAGGATCATGGAAAGAGTTATCCAAGAAAAGAGATCTGGTTCACTACGGCTTGGGAAGGGAAAATTAGTCATCTTACTCCTATGAATATGCCACCCATCTCACAAACATTCATGCAACATGTCTTAAAAATCCATAACACAAGCCGGGCTGTGGTGGCGCACACCTTTAATCCCAGCGCTCGGGAGGCAGAGCCAGGCGGATCTCTGTGACTTCAAGGCCAGCCTGGGCTACCAAGTGAGTCCCAGGAAAGGCTCCAAAGCTACACAAAGAAATCGTCTAAAAAAACCAAAACAAAACAAAATCCATAACACATGCTAGACACGGCGATGCATGCCTCTAACTCCAGCACTTGGGTGATACCTGCCAGTCTGGCAGAGGATACTTGAGTTTACATTCCTCCTTTTAGGATGGGAGAAATTAAGCTCTTTTTCTGGATTTAAGGCACATGTGCTCTTTCTTGTTCCTGGTCTCTTCATATACTTGGTCCATTTTCCTACCGGGTTGATGGTTTTATCTTGTGTATGTGTAGGCCAGTGCTTAACCTCAGGTGCCATTCCTCAACTACTCAGCACATTGGCCTGGAGCTTGCTAAGAAGAGTAGGCCGGCTGGCCGGTGTGCCTCAGGAGTTCAACTATCTTCACCACTGCTAGAATACAAACAAGTGTGCATCACCACACTTGCTTTTCAACATGCATTCTGGAGATCAAACTCAGGTTCTTGCGTTTCTATCCAATTAGCTACTTCCAGCGCCATAGCCCCACTTTCCTTTGTAATATCTGAGACCTTTTTATATAGCAAGGAAATTAAAATAGGCTAGCTTTTTCTTAGAACATTATAGAGAGCTAAAGATTTTTTAAAAAAAGATTTATTTAGGACAACCAGTGCTCTTAACCACTGAGCCATCTCTCCAGCCCCTAGCCACAGGTTAAAGAGGCTGAATAAAAAATATTCATGCCACTCTACTCCTTGGGAATAAGTTCCTTGATCCAGTTTTGTTCTTGATTTTATAGCAGCTGTGATTATGTAAACACTGGAAGAGATAAACCCCTCCTTTCCTATATTCTTTTTCAGGGTTTAAATCATATCCATCCCCTCAGGTCTTGTCACTTGCCAACACCTCAAAATATTAGATTAGGGCCCTGCTGAATCTCCTAAATTAAGCTCTGGGTTAAAACTATTTTAACTTTCACTTAGTTATCACAACACCAAAAGTATCGATAACAAAAAAACTCAAATACACTGATAATTTTAAATCTGAATTTATGTTTTGAAATAAAGTCAACAAACTCTTATAAAATTGATACATGGGAACACACTTTAAGATACCATCACATGCTACATTTACTTAGAGTTTACAGATCCAGTCTAAACAATAATCTACCCATCATAAATGTGAGTTCCTTCCTTCCTTTGAGCAAAAAGGAAGCTTATGTGAAATGCTGGATATATCCGGCTAGCCAGCAATGGCTCAGCACCTTCATGAATGAGGAAAAGCCTGGAGCACAGCCTCTCTGATACAGCTGGACTCCATTCTGCAGCTTCCCATGTGGGCTGCAGGGTCTGTGACTAGATGTCTCCCAAGTCCTGTGTGCCATGGTCCTTTCATTTCTGGTGACGATCCATACGTCACCATTGGTTTCCTTTTATTGTAAACTTCAACAGAAAACTCAGCATGCTTACAGACTCTGCACATGGAGTTCAGGGATCTTTCTCGAGACTCTCACCACTTTGGGAAAGCCCTTTCTCAGAAGTTTCTGATCTGGCTCACTTTCTCACCGTGGCGACTTGGACCTTGGGGACATCATTCCCACAAATGAGCACTCGTGAGTGAGCCCAGCTGGTATTCCTTTCTGAAGCTGTGCCTGTGGCTGGCTGGCTCTGCCACGTCTCTGCTCTGGCTAAAACCATATTTCTCCAATTACAGTAGATTCATTCCTCCTCACCTTAGATTCTGTTTTATAGCTGGTATTTTAATACTTTCCTGCAGAATTTCTTTATTTCATTCTAATAATCAACAATTGGAGGCTGTTCCATAACCGTCCTCTAGATATTTTGCTGGTCTGTAAAACTAACCTGATTTGTATAAGAAGAAGTAAGAAACAAATGCTGGTAGCCTTAGCACCTTGCCATCATGTCCACTACTGATGTATGATAGCCTTCAGAGTCAACCAAATTCACTCACGTTTTCCTCTCACATAAATACTCGATTTTTTTTCAACAATAAAACATGATTTTTTTTTTTTAAATAACAAATACATGCTCAGGACACATCACAAAACCAGCAGCTATAATGAATGCTACTGGTGGTCCAATGCTTCATTTCCATACATCACTTCCAAAATAAAGGTTCAAGCCTTTGACTCTGCCTACGGATTCAAGTTCCAAGATGTATCATTTGACACCATTATGTCTATAGTTTAACAAAAACTAGAATGACATTCTTAGTGTGAATAGGGAGTATAAAATCATGTTTAATTTCTTCATAATTACTTTAAAATTCATAGTATCAGCAAATCTTACTAATTATAAAAAAAGGGTAAATTTGTAATTTCCTCTATTATGATAGTACCATCATTGACATTTATTTGTTCCTAATTCAATTCCACTTCAACTACCTGACGTTGAACTTGAGGTAGCTGCACTGTGGTTGCATTGCTAGGGCAAGTGGTACGGTTCAAAGTACCATCTGGAACATCAGATTTTATTTAAACGCCTGAAACCATTTCCCCATTTGGCATTCAAAACAAAACGAAGAGAAATAAACCCCCAATCGTTTCCTTAGTGGTAAAAGTACAGTTCTTTTGTGAGCATAGACACAATACACGGAATCTGCTTCTTCGCATGGAAAGTGGCGTCAAGGGAGAAGGACTCGAATTCTGTTGCTACCTTCCGGTTAACGCGAGTAAGAATGTGCATAAACTCAAGCTTGTGGGCATACAGTTTCAGCATGGCACAAAGTGACTGGATGAACCAGGACCCATCCTTTGAATTTCTCCAGGAGTAGTAACCTACAAGGCAAAACACAAAGCACCACAGCCGCCATTACTTCATGCCATCATTTTAGCAGATCTTACACATGTTTACAGGATCACAACAAAAATGCTGTAGAATATTATTTTAAGGTGTGTTGCTTTTGCTTATATTGTGTTTGTTTAGCTCTGTGAAGAGCCAGAAAACAAACAACAACATCCTGGCATTCCAACGTGGGCCCTTATTTCCACACAGGGCTTAAGAAAGCCGAGTCAAAGACAAACAAATGAACGAAAAGATGAGGCTCCTTAAGAGTTTCATCCGGACAGTTTCTGCAAGTCACTGAGCCCTTGAACAACTAGTACATTAAGTAGGAACAAAAAATTAAGTAAAAATTCCCACCACAGTGCAAGCATTGGCATTCTAGAGCTCAAGCAAGGTTGAATGCAGTTCCTGGTCAGACAAACCTCAACCACCCGGCTGCGAGTTTCACGCTTGGCTTTCACGACTGGAGAAGCAGGCCAAGCCAGGCGAAAGCTGCATGTAGAGGATCCAGGTGTACCTTAGCAGTCTAAAGTTTGCTAGTATGGTCCAAAAAAGACTAGAGATACGCAGTTAAAGAGGTCCAGACAGAAAAACTACTAAACAGGCTACAGTGTGTTTAACAAATGTGTGTAGGCTTAAGAAAAGGAAAAGGGTATAGTCATAGAAAAAAGTTTATAAAATAAAGTATTTAAAGAGTAAAAGAAAATAAACACATAAGATGGGAAATACACGGGAAGTCTGGATCCTGTATGTTATTGTGTTGATTTTGCATTTTTTGATTGTTGAAAAGCAAAGGACAGCTTGGAATTGAAAGAAGGACTGTTGAAATAAATCATCCTATGCACTTTAGGAATGCCTTAACTTTTAAAAAAGTCAAAAAATATATTTGTCAAATAGAAATCAAAAAATGCTTTAAGAGTTTTGTTTCCACAGGAGATGAGAGGCTGTGGATTGTGGATTCTTTCAGGGTTAATATGGATCAGGTTGGATCAGGTTTGATCAGGTGAGACCTCCTGAATCTTGACAGGTGATATCTATCAGCAAAGGTTACTGCTGGTCTTCCCAGGACTTGGCCATTATCTGAAGTTTTCTCTCTGGGACCCTAAAGATACTTCATCCACAGACAGCAGGAAGCAGTTTAGAGAAAACTATGCCCACATTTCCAAGAGTTAGGGGGTGTGGATGGTCTTTGGTTATTTGATGGTTATGGATGTTTGTTATCATTTAGGGGAATATAGAATCAAATAAATTTAAAGTTTATTTTGTTACACTGTATATGTTTCTACTCTTGTTTAAAGGATTTTTGTATATTGATAAAAATTTAAGGTTATTTTTATTACAACATATTGTATATATGTTTATATTCTTGTTTAAGGTATTATACCTATGCATTTAAAAATGCAGGGTAATATTCCAGTTTTTGAAAGCTGTTATTATAAACTATATAGGCTAATCAGGAAACACAGGTTAGTGTTTGAAACATAGATTGTTATTTATAACAATCAAAATTGTAGATATGGCCGGGAGGTGGTGGCACATGCCTTTAATCCCAGCACTCGGGAGGCAGAGCCAGGCGGATCTCTGTGAGTACGAGGCCAACCTGGGCTACAGAGTGAGTTCCAGGAAAGGCGCAAAGCTACACAGAGAAACCCTGTCTCGAAAAACCAAAAAGAAAAAAAAAAAAACCCCAAAAAATTGTAGACATGTTAGGTATGCTTTCTAGATCATATAGTGATATATTTTAGACAGATAGATGGTCTTCAAACCTTTCAAAGACCTACAGAATGTGGCATTTAAAATGTTTTGTTAACTTAGAGCTTTTCGTGACAATGATACACATCTGCTCCTGGCAGCACCAATTTACTTCAGAGAAGATGATGAGCATTGAAGAAACTCTTTATAAAGTTTTCTTTCATTGTGGCAAGACTAGCCACTGGACAAAGAAACTGCTCTTGCCTTTGACTGCTGACAATGTGCTGTGCAGACTAGACATGCAGGACATATAGGAAAAAGACTGCTGAACTTTGCCAAAACAAGGCAGGACAGTCCTTCAAAATTCCTGCTTCACAAAAGAGTCTGCCAGGGGGCTGGAGAGATGGCTCAGAGGTTAAGAGCACTGGCTGCTCTCCCGGAAGTCCTGAGTTCAATTCCCAGCACCCACATGGTGGTTCATGACCATTTACAATGAGATCTGGTGCCCTTTTATAGTATTCAGACAGAACACTGTGTACATAGTAAATAAATAAATCTTAAAAAAAAAAAAAAAAGGAAGAGTCTGTCAGATATTCTGCAGAACACAGAGGAAAGTGACAAATTTTGCCAAAACAAAGTAGGACAGTCCAAAATTCCTGCTTCATAGAAAAGTCTGCCAGATGCTTGGGCCTGTAGGCTGAAGATAGATGCCCCAAGGTTGCAGAGGAACTTTAGGTGACTGTTCAGACAGCCAAATGTCTCTGTTATTAGATAACATTACATCCTTCTGGGTCTTTGATGGAGTTGAAGACTAGTTAGTTATAGTTGCAGTTTTCCTTAGTTATGATAGAAAGCAAATTAGGTGCAAAATTTTGGATTCACTAGATAGGACAGACAATGCATTATTCTGAATATGCTAACCACAAATGGACAGAATATTGTGAATGTAAACCTTACTGGATACATTGTTATTGTATATAGTCTTACTATGTTTACCTTAAAACCCTTTCACTTTTATTTTTAAGGTATGCTACTTTTGTTTATGTTGCATTTGTTTAACTCTGTGAAGCTGTGTTACTGTGCCTGTCTAAAACACTTGATGGTCTAATAAAGAAATGAATGGCCAATAGAGAGGCGGGAGAAAGGATAGGCAGGGCTGGCAGGCAGAGAGACTATATAGAAGGAGAAATCCTGGGTAAAAGAATAAGAGGAGCCAGAGAGAAAGGAAGACTTCAGGGGCCAGCCACCTAGCCACCCACCAATCCATGGAGTAAGAGTAAGATTTAAAGAAGTAAGAGAATGGGAAAAGCCCAGAGGAAAAAGACAGATAGAATAATTTAAGATACCCAGTGGATAAAAGAAACAAGATTGAGTATATTTTGTTTATTTGTTTTAATAGATTTATTTGTTTACTTACTTGTGTGTATGGTTGTGCATGTGCCATAATGCACATGGAACTCAGAAGACAATTTGTGGGAGTCAGTTTTCTCCTCTACAATGACACACACATATATACATATAGGTCCACACCCACACACTTAATACCCCCCTCCCCCCCGTGTGTGTGTGTGTGTGTGTGTGTGTGTGTGTGTGTGTGTGCCCCCATAGGCTCATGTTTGAATACTTGGTCCCTAGTCAGTGGAACTATTTGGGGAGGATTAGAAGGTGTGGCCTTGATGGAGGAGGTATGTCAGGTGGGCTTTGAGGTTTCAGAAACCCATGCCATTCCCAGTTAGTTCTCTCTGCCGTGTGCTATATATATGCTTACAGATGTGCACCACACCTGCTTATCGACTGCCATGCCCCACCTCCCCTTTCTCTCCATGATAGCTATGGACTCTAACCCTCTGTAACAATGGACTCCAAATTAAGCATTTTCTTTTGTAAGTTGCCTTGGCCATCATGTTCTGTCATGGCAACAGAAAAATAAGACAACATGTTAGTTATTTTAAGGGTGTAAAAATCTTTGTGAGGTCATATAAAAATCTTAGTAGCCTTTAAAACATAGTCCTTACTGCTCAACTCTAACGCTAGTCATGTCATTCATCTACAGTCCACACAGAACATTCCTTTGAAGCATTCTTACCAGGTGCCGTGGAGTAAGCATAGAGGAAGTCGGCTTCCACGGGTATCTTCTGGCATGCCATGTCATCGTCAGTTCCGCTGTCTGTCTCAATGCCACAGTCCAGCTCCGTACCCCGGCAGGCCTGTGTGGTAGAAAACAAACTTTTCTTTTAAAAAACACACAACTTACATCTAAAAACTGTAAGAGCGGTGTAGAAATTTGTTAAGTCTTCCTGATATAAGAGCAACATTGAAATGGACTCCATTATTTTCCAAGTGGTGGTTTAAATAAATAGAGCTATAGTGGTCCCGGAGCCCCAGAACAAAAGGTAAATACTAATAAGTACGTTAATTTCTTCTCAAGCGGGCATGGAGCTGCTCGGCGGCGCACTACCTGGATGATGAAGAGTTTGGGCTTTCCAGTCAGGCTTCGGCAGTAGTCACCTCTGAAGTAACTAGTTAGCTTTTTCAGGTCGATGGGTCCATTTGTTCCATAAATGACTCCTTCATCGCCGTGGCTTAGAATCACACAAACAAAACTGCTCCTTTTGCTGTGGTCCTCTTTAGAAACTGGGAAGGCGTTCAGAAATAACGTGAGACAAAACAAAGACACAGACACACTTTGCAAGTTTCATTTGAAACGTTAGGACACTGTATGAGAATATAACAAAGAATCTGCCATTGTTTGATTTGTATCCAGTTTTCTAACTGGACCAAGACAGCTTTGAATTCACGATCTTCCCTCCTGCCTTAGCTTCCTGACTTCTGGGGTTACTGATTTACACCATGCCCAAAAGAGGAAGAAATCGAGAATAGAATTATAAGATTATCCAAATCTAACAGAGGCAGAGCATGTTTGGAATCATTTCCGGGGGTTACATGACTGAAAAAAAAAATTCTTTTAAACTTTTTCTAAAATATATAAATAAGTAGCCGGGTATGGTGGCACATACCTTTAATCCCAGAACTTGGGAGGCAGAGGCATACTTTTATGCCTCTAATCATCATATATGGTCTAATTATAGCTAGACCATAAAGTAAAATTGCCCAGTGAAAGTCATTCTTCTTTAATGTAGTATTTTTATTAATTCTTTGAGAACTCTATACAAGTGATTCGATCATATTTATCCCCATACATACACACCCAACTTTTCCTGGATCCTTCCTCCCAACTTCCCAACTTTATGTTTTATTTTGTTAAGTATCACAGGGTCCAATTTGTGCTGGCCACATGCTACTGGAGCATGGCCAACCTACCAGGGACTATACCCTTAAAGAAAATGGGCTTGCCCTCCTCCAGCGGCCACCAACTGTCAAGAGCGCCCCAGCCTAGAGGTGGAGCCTCGTGAGTCCCTCTCCCTTTCATGTCAGAATGCTGACTGCCTTGACCCTGAGTGGGCAGCCCCAACTGCTCTGAGTTCCTGAGTGTAGACTTCCTGTCATGTCTCCCTCTGGTCCTCCCCAGACGCTGGCTCTTAAACTCTTTCTGCCCCATCTTCTGCCAAGGTCCCCGAGCCGTGTGTGTGTGTGTGTGTGTGTGTGTGTGTGTGTGTGTGTGTGTGTGTGTGTGTGTGTGTGTAGGGTTGAGGTATGGATGTGCCATTTCTGGCTGAGTTCTGCAGACACTTCATCTCTGTCCTTTGTCCAGTTGTTAGATGCTTCCTTTAACTCTTTTAGTTAGTTCCTTCTTACCCTTATCCATCAATCCCACAATTTCTTCACAAGTAAGATCATTCTTATTCCGGACTTCATATTTCAGGCCCATGAATGTCTCTCTGAGTTTGGCCGCATCGACATCGGTACCAGACCGAGGGGTCATTCCTTGGGACAGAAAGAACTTCTCTTAATTGCGATGTAAAAGAATAACTGCTTTGAGATTAAATGAGCTATTCAGCAATTAACACAACCAATGAACTCTTCCTTTTAAATGTTAAGAAAAGTCTACTTATTTTGATGATAGCCACAGAGTCTGCAATCTGTTAGCACACAAGACACTTCATTGTATTTGCTGCTGCAAGCTGTCGTGGCGGGGACATCCTGCACAGCAGCTTCAACAGCAAAAACAAGAGGGGACTTCAGATGCCTGGCAATAGGGGTTTGCCTGATAAATTGTGATTTGTTTATATGATGAAGCACTATGTCACCACCTGATTCACTCACTCATTCATTCATTGGCAAAGTCTCATGCTGTAGCCCAACCTGGTCTTGAGCTCATAATAATCCTCCCAAGTGCTGGGGTTATAGGCACAGGCCGCCAAACTCAGTTCATGATGAATATTTTCTAAGACCATGGAGAAATGGTCACTGATCTTTTTAAAAATCACTAATTTATTTCATGTAACATGATAATATCCATTCAATAAACTGTAGAAAGATAGAAAAAAAGTATGTGATCTTAGTTTTGTTTATATGATTTACCTCACAGACACTATATTTGATTCTAGGTTCAATCAGTTTTAAGACAGTATTACTTACACATCTTTTTTTTTTTTTTCTTTCTTTTTTTGGTTTTTCAAGACAGGGTTTCTCTGTGTAGTTTTGGTGCCTGTCCTGGATCTTGCTCTGTAGACCAGGCTGGCCTTGAACTCACAGAGCTCTGCCTGGCTCTGCCTCCCCAGTGCTGGGATTAAAGGCGCGTGCTACCACTGCCCAGCTCTCTTGCACATCTTTTTTTTGGGGGAAAATCCACAAATATTATCGGCTTAGTATTGCTAATCAGGTATTCTGCTCCGTGGGTAATATTCGGTCATTCCAACCATCACAAGATGCTTATTACTAGCTCGTTTGTTCATGTGAGAGATGCAGAACACAAATGAGCTAAACACCTGCCCTTCATACATGCATGGTTAGCAGGAGAGATGCTTGGTTTTAAAAGAAGGAAGGAAGGAAGCAAACTTGTTCAACTGATAAAGTTGGGGACCTTTCAGCTGGCTCAGGGACATCTGCTGCCAAGCCTGATAACATGAATTTGATCCCTGGTGTCCATCCACATGGTGCAAGAAGAGGACTGAGGGAAGAAGGGAAGGAGAACCTCTTATTGGCATCAAGGAGGGTACCAATGAGGACTACATACCATCAAGGAGGTACCAATGAGGACTACATACCATCAAGGAGGTACCAATGAGGACTACATATCATCAAGGAGGTACCAATGAAGACTACAGACCACCAAAGAGGTACTAATGAGGACTACAGACCATCAAGGAGGTACCAATGAGGACTACAGACCATCAAGGAGGTACCAATGAGGACTACATACCATCAAGGAGGTACCAATGAGGACTACATATCATCAAGGAGGTACCAATGAGGACTACATATCATCAAGGAGGTACCAATGAGGACTGTAGATCATCAAGGAGGTACCAATGAGGACTACATATCATCAAGGAGGTACCAATGAAGACTACAGACCATCAAGGAGGTACTAATGAGGACTACAGACCATCAAGGAGGTACTAATGAGGACTACAGATCAAGGAGGTACCAATGAGGACTACAGACCATCAAGGAGGTACTAATGAGGACTGTAGATCATCAAGGAGGTACCAATGAGGACTACAGACCATCAAGGAGGTACCAATGAGGACTACAGACCATCAAGGAGGTACCAATGAGGACTGTAGATCATCAAGGAGGTACCAATGAGGACTACAGATCATCAAGGAGGTACTAATGAGGACTACAGACCATCAAGGAGGTACTAATGAGGACTGTAGATCATCAAGGAGGTACCAATGAGGACTACAGACCATCAAGGAGGTACTAATGAGGACTACAGACCATCAAGGAGGTACCAATGACACTACAGACCATCAAGGAGGTACCAATGAGGACTGTAGATCATCAAGGAGGTACTAATGAGGACTGTAGATCATCAAGGAGGTACTAATGAGGACTGTAGATCATCAAGGAGGTACCAATGAGGACTACAGACCATCAAGGAGGTACCAATGAAGACTAAAGATCATCAGTACAGCTCAGCCACACATACTGGACGCTAACTGCTAGAAGTAAAGATGCTGAGGTAAGGTTTGGTTTTGTTGGTTTTTGTTGCTGAGACAGGGTCCCATTAGCCCAGGCTGGCATCTTTCTACTTCTTCCTCCCAAGTGACAGTGATGGAATTACAGGAATGTACCATGACCCAGGGTTTATGTGGAACTGTGGATAGAACTATGTCTCAAGCACTCTACTGACCCCCATTTTCTTGTCCTTTTCCCCTCCTTTTCTTCCTCTTTAATTTTATTTTTTCTCGTTTTCTCAATTAGTTCTTTGAGAATTTCATACAGTATATTTTCGTCATATTCACCCCTGTGCCCCCAGCTCCTTCTAGGACCATGACCCCTCCCTTCCCACCCAACTTTGTGTCCTCTTTTTAAAAAAAGACATCAATGGCTGGGCGGTGGAAGTGCACGCCTTTAATCCCAGCACTCGGGAGGCAGAGGCAGGCGGATCTTTGTGAGTTCGAGACCAGCCTGGTCTACAGAGCGAGATCCAGGAAAGGCAGAAAGCTACACAGAGAAACCCTGTCTCAAAAAAACCCAAAAACAACAACAAAAAAACCCAAAAAACAAACAAAAACAAAACAACAACAACAAAAAAGTTTTTAAAAAAAGGAATTATCCTAATCCCAGCACTCGGGAGGCAGAGACAGACGGATCTCTGTGAGCTCGAGGCCAGCCTGGTCTACAGCGTGAGTTCCAGGACAGGCACTAAAACTACAGAGACACTCTTGTCTCAAAACACCAAAACAAAACAAATACCATCAAGTCCACTTCCTGCTGCCCACATACCCTTGGATATGCAGCCTTCCATTGGAGGGTGGGAGATCTATGGCACAACCCGACAACTACTCACAGGATTAGTAGAAAACACCATTCCTTTTCCTGTGCATGCATTCTTGGGCTGGGATAAAGGCCTCAATTAAATAATAGTTGTAAACACAGAAGCAGACTGTGCCTGAAGCCAGGCACACAGACTTGCAAATGGGAAATGTGGCACAGGGTGGGGATAACTCAGCAACCTCAAGCCTGAGGTAAGAGGCCTGAATTTGTATCCTAGAACTAAGGAATGACCTTAGGGTCACGCCCACTTGCGTGAGGCTGTAAGTTAAGGGCCCCTGCAAAGGATGCTAGAGACACTTTCTCAGCTGCCCCAGGGCAGAGGACCTCAGGTGCCAGTCATTCATCTTCATCCCTGCTGGCTTGTTGCTTATGAAACCTTTTCTTCTCCCATCACTGTGCAGGGCTCACCCTTATCTTTTTTCCCAGGGTACTCTTGAGGAGTGAGGGATAAGAGATTTAAATAGATACAGAGGGGAGAGAGAGACAGATAGAAACATAGGATAGCCTCGGGAGGGCCTGGGTCCTAATCCACTGGCCCCTTCTGTCTTTTCTAAAGGGCTTTTTAAAGGAATGCCAAGGAGTGGGGCAAAAGACCTCCCCCTAGCATAGCCAAGTGCAGACCCTTCCAAACACCTGGTAACCATGCACACAGTCAATCCATCCCCTTATGCAGCCTGCTGGGTAAAGCAAGCTCAGATCTCACTAGGAAACCTCTGTGGGCTCCCACACATCACTCAGCCTCTCAAGGTATTGGCTTTGTTGGGTAGCAGCAGAATCCAACCGTTCACAGTCACAGGAGAGGCAGAGATTCTGAACATGGACGAAGAGTTCATATTGCATGTGGGACCTGTAAGGTTCCAGCGCATCTCCACTTTTGTGGGTTTTTTTTTTTTTTCTGTATCAGTTTACTGACTCATAACACACTGATATTGCTTTTCATGTTATATCCAGTAGAAATGGCATACATATTTGAAATGTTTAAAAAAAATTTTGTTAGATACGTACCAGTGCTTTTATGAAAGTTCTTATTATTAATTATTACGCACACCCCCATTTCAGGGTAATCCATCTTATAACTATTGTCCAGATATATTCCTGAGTCCATTGATTTGCTTCCATGGATGGTCTTTCTGCATGGAAATCAAGCGACAGTTAGTTAGCCTGGGGTAGGTGGAGAATGTGCCTTAACAACAAATAAAAAGAAATAAGTACTCACACTTCAAAATTATTAATGGATTTGGAATCCACTGAGGTTTCGTTGTTCTCCATGGTCACTTTTCTTAACTAGAATATAGAAAAAAAAGAGATGTTACCCATAACAAATCATTCTAGAGCCAGAGCAGTATATTAGCAATGCTATGCTTATTTCTCTTGGAGTTCTTGTTTTGTCTCCATTGCTATTGGCAGATGTGTGGACCATGATCCTTTGCAATGGCACCACAGTGTAGGCCCCTTATCCTTGCTTGCTCTTCCTTAACTGTGAATTATATATCAAGAACAGAGTGGGTAGTAGCTCCGTCTTTCTTTTTCTCTTTCCTCCCTTTCATGTGCCCCTGCCTATAAAACAGATAACACCTTCTTTCCCTGGTCACCCAACGAAATCAGTTATTTACTGGAACTCGGCTTCTAGCTCAATACAACTAAAACAAAACCCAAACACTAATCGTATATTAAGGTCACATAACACGATGTCACAAAGGTGAGGGCCCCAGGGACTTCCAAACCTCCAGAGTCTCCCACTCAGAAACTTGACTTCTAATACTAAGTGACTATGTCCACAAATACAGGACGTGTGCCCCTCTCCTCACCTGCTGTGCTAAGGAAGCCAGCTCCTTTTCTTCTAGAATTCTCTAGAAGGAAAGACACTGCCATGGGAGTATGCCTCCCCAAATAAAGAAGACAGACAAACAGAAATAAAACATAAACAAGTGCTAAAAATCCTGAATGAATCTTCAGACTCTAGAAGGCCAATATCTAGGTCAAATATTTCAATCAAAATACAACTTTGAACCTCAGTCCTATGCTAAAATCAGAACTACCAGGACAGCTTCACGGAAGTCCCCAAAGCTAAGATTCTACTATCTGCCCCGCCCCACCCCGCCCCTTGGGGTGCCTTTGGGAACAGTGGAGAAAGAATACAGAGAAGAGGAAGTGACCCCTTCAGTTTAACCACAGAAGAGGATAGTGCTTCGTTCGTCTTCAAAAGCCAGTGGTTTGCATTCCTTTGCTTTCTACAATTTTTTATTCTGGTAGGCTTTCTAGAAAACCACAGGAGGACGTGAGCAAAAGTGGGGTGTACCATGCTTTTATTCAGCAGGCAAATATGTAGAGAGCATACACTTTTTTGTGCCAGGTCTACCTTCAAGAAACTTGAATTCGGGCTGGAGAGATGGCCCAGCGGTTAAGAGCACTGGCTGCTCTTCCAGAGGTCCTGAGTTCAATTCCCAGCAACCACATGGTGGCTCACAACCATCTGTAATGAGATCTGATGCCCTCTTCTGGCCTGCAGGGATACATGCAGGCAGAACACTATACATATTAAATAAATACATTTTTTTGAAAAGAAAAGAAACTTGAATTCTAGAAAGAAAGAATTGAGATAGAAACTAAGGTTTCAGCTACTGTCGGGGCCATGAGAAAAATGAAAAAGGAGAAAGAACTGGGAGAATAGGCTACTTTAGCTGGGTGGTCAGGGAGTCGTCTCTGAGATCGGAATGATACAGAGGGAGGCTGCCCCTGCCCCGGGGGTGGTAAACATCAGCTAGATCCAAGGCCTGGGAACAATTTGCTCTACTCAAGGTACAGTAAGACCAGTTGGACTAGTGCTGGGGCAGGGAGATAGGAAGGGCAAGATCACACAAGGTCTTAGGACCAATAACGAGGCGAGAACATTGCAATAGCTAAAGCCGAAGAGGACTGCACACTCTGCCTGCTAGAGCACAGGGCCCAGGGAGACGCCTTCTGGAATAGTCCAGGGAGATGACGGAGGCCCGAACTGGAGCCGAACAGTTGATAGATCCAGACAGTTAAGTCTGGGCATCCTGTGATTTAGAAGTTGATTAGAGGAAGTGGAGTCAGCAGAAGAGCCGAGAGCAAAGTAAACTGGGTGGATGTGGTGTGCCAGCACTCCCAGAAGCCTTTCGGGGACGCTCGCTCACCTTTTCCAACCTTGCCAGAAGGCCTATTTCAATGAGGGCAGAAGGCCACTACGGAACATGTCATGGCCACCGTGGGGGCTGCAAGGACAAGCAAATCCAAGCCAAATAAATGACTAGATACCATTTCAGTGGGATGTCGGGTGTTACCCAGAGGACTCCCTAGATTATTGGATTCCCCAGGGCATAGTCTTTTGCATAACTCACTGCTGGCTAGGGCCACTTTCCAACTTCGTAGGAAATTAAGCCATAAAAAGTAGCAGCTACATAGTGATTCTTTTCCATAGCAAAACATAAATTTGTCTTGTATTGACACAATGTATTTATACTTGATAGAAAGACCAATCCTTCTAAATTATAGTTATTGCCTTATAGAAAGTAACTAGTTTCATAACCACCAGTAAAATGTTCTCGCCCCAGCCAGCTCTTTACATTTGCTTGTTCTTCCAATTTTTTGAACTGGACTTAACATCTTATTGGTTCCACTCATTAGCTAGCAGGTGAATAAAATTCTGGACATGGGCTTATTTTCTGTTTGAGCGGCCAGGATTTAACTTTTTTAAAATTGTACTTTAAAGGAACCGATGGTTGTCCTGGGTTGAGAAAAGCAACCGTATAAGCACCTCATCCCGGGTTAGTAGCAAAAAGTTCTTTCCTGCTTGGCTGTGAACAGGAGAGAAATGAACAGTAGCTGGATGGGAGGGGGGACAGAGGATGCCTCTTGGTTAAGCCATACTTCCTAGGTCAGTGAGAATGGCATAGTGGGAAACGGGAAATTAATAATTCAAGAAGAGCAGAGGAACACTGGGGTGTCTGAAGGGATGCGATGAGATGTCCAGCATACACATGAAATTTACCTCAGGTAAGAACAGGGCAAGCACATCCACAGGAAAGAAAATGAAAGCAAAATAGTGTATTGATCTGTTTGGCAGGTGCTGGGGATTGACCCAGGGCCTCAGGCACAAGTCAGTTCTCTATCACTGAGTCACAGCTCCAGTACAAGGTATCCGGAGGTAACAGAGAAGCCCGGGAAAACGATAAGAGAAGGACTTGGTACTTCTCACAAGATGGCGCCCACTCCCTTTATATTTAGAAGATAAACTGTGAGTCAAGAAACTCCAAATGTCTTTAGTTTCTTGTGGACGTACCTCTACATTTTACCACGTAATACCAAAACGAGATCAGACACAAAGCTGGCAAGTATGTGGAAGAGGCATTTTCATACATACTGGGTGGGACATAAACTGATAAGACCTCCTGGGAATATTTTGGGGGTTTCTCCCCATTTGCTCATAAAAACTGAAGTCTGATGTAGTAAACTGACTCTACTAAGAGTGTGTCTACAAATGCCCTGCGGGATGGATGAAGTAAGGAAAGAGAAGACTATGCATTAGTCATAAAAACTGAGAGTGTTAGCAGGGCGGTGGTGACACACACTTTTAGTGCCAGCACTCGGGAGGCAGAGGCAGGTGGATCTCTGTGAGTTCAAGGCCAGCCTGGGCTACAGATAGTTCCAGGACAGCCAGAGCTTCACAGAGAAACCCTGTCTCGAAAAAAACCAAAAAGACAAACAAAAATAAATCCCTGAGTGTAAGTACAGAGAAGTAAGTGTTATAGTAAACCCATACAAGTTACTGTGGCTAACTCCCTTTACAGTTTTCTTGAAGTCCATATCAACAACACAAATGCCAGCATTATAAGGCTAAGTGAAAAAAAATTAAAGAAACCCAGCATGATCTCTGTTTACATTTTACCATATTTATGTCTGACAACTTACTTACTTTGTAATACTCTTCGATATCTTCTAACTTTTTCTTAACACATTTCAATGTTAGAAAACAGTATCAAATATTATTTTATAAAATAAGGTCAACCATAGCAGGCCATGTCACCAGGATTATGCTAGGCAGTTTCAATCCCCAACCCTATCTCAAGAGCAAAGAAAAAAAATGGTGGGGCCCGGTGGCACACACGTATAAGCTCAAAACGCTGGAGTCCAAGGCTGGAGGACTGCCGAGTTTGAGGTTAGTCTGATTCACCTAGCAAGCTCTAAGCCGGGCTGCACAATCTCATAAAACCAAAAGAGTGAAAAAATAAGCATGCTCTCCTACTGAGAAAACAGTCACTCCTCTTTGCCTTTTTACCAGGTTTGGGTCTTTTGGTTTCTTATGGACAACAAACGTGTTAGGTACTAAGAATTCTCAAATTTCCAAGAACTAGAAATATCACACAGATCAACTTGTCTCTAGTTATGCCTCTTCGAAGTGGGCAGACCACAAGCTAAAATACTCAGCAATGTGTGGTTGAGAAACAAGGGGCAGTTCATTTGATTAACTAGAGAATAGTACAGCACCACTAAGAGTCTAGACAGAAGATAGATAAATGAACAAATGGTTTAATACACATTTGGGCTCAGGAGAACATAATCTTTCCAGTGGTCAACCAATGGGAAATGTGTAGTTAAAAAAAAAACCCCAAAAAACAAAAAGAAAGTAAGAAAAAACAACACAGGGGGACTCAACAGGGATAGAACGATGTCAAAGAAGCGTGAGAAAAGATGCTCACGTCGCGCATCAGGAAGACATGGCGGACTGTAACACATCATCGCTAACTCAAAGCAGCAGCTTTGAAAACGCTGACCGTGCCATTTCCACTGTACAACCTTCTGGAAAAGATGAAAACGTGGCGAGCCTAAGCAGATCATGGCGGCACAGGGTTATGGGGGAGGAGGAGGAGATCACGGAGGGTGTTTGAAGCCAGCGAAACCTGTCCCTGCTGTGCCACAGAAGTGGATACAAGTTGTTGTCATACGCTTACCCCAGTTGAAAGCAGACAGTGCCAAGAGTGAACCTTACTGTGACCTGTAAGACTCTGGGGGACAGTGATGTCAACCAGGCTCATCAGTTCTAACAAATGTACTACTCTGGTGGGGGAATGTTAATAATGAGGAGTCTGTGTGGACCAGACAGATATGGGGTACCTCTTAATTGCTCTAAACATGAAAGCAAACCCCTTTTGCTTTTATTAGAAACTAAGATTAGACAACTTCTGAATTTGAGTTTTTGCCAGTGTCCCCATGGTCCCCAAATTAGCCCTCTGCATGAGCTTGCCCCCTACAGAATTCAGTGT